GTCTAGCTTCTTTAGTGATTTTTCATTTATCGGGGTGGTGGGGTACTCCAATTGCGAGTAATGGTTAGTAAGCTTGTCTCACTAGATCAGTTGCGACTGGGTAGCGAGTTCGATCCTCACTAGGTGCTCCGTACTTTCGAACGTGCCACAACTAGGTTACGTTTATTAAATCGCCATAATCATTTACCCGGGCGTCTCGTCGTGGGTTAAGAGGCAACAAACTGGTCTTCAATGTCATTACTGAGTAGTGAGTTCGATCCCCACTGAGTGATTCATACTTTTGTGTACCGAATACAATAGCTGGTACGATTACAGCCCCCCACCCCCTTTAGTTCTCCCATCTTCGACATTGGATTTATTTGGCACGTGTAGAGAGCTGCGTGTCTACGGGATTGTAATGGAGCAAGGTTGTGGTTGAGAACTTTCGATGAAATCGAATTCAACATTTTCAGAAGAAGCAATGTTAACACGTCGAGGAATTTAACAGATTTTTATATAAAGAGTAACAACAAAATATACATATATAGAAGGGAAAATTAAAAAAAAAATAATTAAAATAAACTTTGATCTTTCCTCTTAATAAACATTTAAACGATAAAATTTTGTTTTCGTCAAATTTGGCGTCTTTTTCATCATGCTATGCCTTCTTTTGGCGATCTCGTGGAGGTACCCTTGTCATATATATATATATATATATATATATATATATATATATATATATATATATATATATGGAAGTGAAAGAGCATAAAAATTTAGAGTGCTACTATGTTAGGATATCTACAGAGGCATTTGCAACTTACCGTAAATGACGATGCACTCATTATTGCTGGAAAATGCTGAAGAAAACTGAACTGTTTACCTTTTTTTTTTTTTTAAATGACATCAAATCAATTGACAAACATTAAAGTCACTATTTGAGGATTTCATTTTTAGTCTAAAAAATTGTTAATGATTTTTAATACATAACCAGTTCACTGCCTTTTTAACCATAACCCTAAAATATTTCATACTTCCAACAGTTGATAAATATCATACCATAGAAAATGAGTAGTACATATGATACTATAGTAGAAAATGAATGGGAGATATCGTACTATAGTAGTACCGAATTTAGTGATGAGAAATGATAATAAAAGAGGTTTTAAGAAACGGAAGATGGCTATTGATGTTGCATTTACATTTTCAAAGATTTTAGGGAACAAGGAAAAGCAAGGAACTCGGAAAAGAGTTCTACAGGCGAGAAATGCACAAAAAAAAAAAAAAAAAAAAATTAGGATAGTATTTATGATTGCATTTATTTCAGTAAAACGATGAGACCTAATTGCCAATCTAATACGTTTAAATTCACATAAAAGAGGTACCAACGAAGAGAGCTTATTAGAAAAATAACCCACGAAAATATTTACAGAAAATAACCCACGAAAATATTTACAGAAAATAACCCACGAAAATATTTACAGAAAATAACCCACGAAAATATTTACAGAAAATAACCCACGAAAATATTTACAGAAAATAACCCACGAAAATATTTACAGAAAATAACCCACGAAAATATTTACAGAAAATAACCCACGAAAATATTTACAGAAAATAACCCACGAAAAATATTTACAGAAAATAACCCACGAAAATATTTACAGAAAATAACCCACGAAAATATTTACAGAAAATAACCCACGAAAATATTTACAGAAAATAACCCACGAAAATATTTACAGAAAATAACCCACGAAAATATTTACAGAAAATAACCCACGAAAATATTTACAGAAAATAACCCACGAAAATATTTACAGAAAATAACCCACGAAAATATTTACAGAAAATAACCCACGAAAAAAAAATATTTACAGAAAATAACCCACGAAAATATTTACAGAAAATAACCCACGAAAATATTTACAGAAAATAACCCACGAAAATAGCCACGTCACGGCGGTAGGAAAGTGATTCAAGTCGAGATGCCAGATCAGGCCCCATAACATTACAGATCTTTCTTTGGATTTTGTCAAGAATCTTGAGACATATAGCAAGAGAACAGACCAGATATGACGGCAATATTCAATACACGGACAAATGGTAGATTTATAAATGAACCAGTTGGATTCCGACGAGAAAATTTGTCTGGCATAACATTGAACCAACTTTCCAAGCAGTAGACCTAGCAGGTTGATTCAATATAATCTTCCCACTTGGTGGAAAATGAAGACCCAAAATGGTATAAAGAGTGGCTCTTCTGAGGGTTTAGATTAAGAGCCTTGAATAATATCCACGTTTCACTGTTGATCGCAAAGTGTTGCTTAATTTTGCCAACTTTCCTCACTGTTCTGTCAAACATTTCACAGATGCGAGCAAATATCATTAATGCTCAGGTTCATCGGTTTTTGTTAAGGACGAGGGCGGCCTTTCAACGGGACCTCAAGTAAGAATTTGCACACTAAAATTAATTCGTATCATTTCCACTGAGGGTGTCGTGGCTACAACTGACTTGACTTCATGTGATTCTTCAGTCAGACCAACTAGAATATGGCAATATTTTTCCTTTTCTTAGAGCCACCCTGAAAGTCTAACCTAATAAGTTAACACGAAAAGACAGTTTTTCCCCTTACCGATTTGAAAAATAAATACCTGAATTTAACAGGAACGAATGACGGTTGATAATACTGGTAAGTTTTTACACCAGTCTCCCTTATTGGCACAATGCGCATGCTCAATTCTACGATTACTTCATTGCCCAGTTGACAAGTTAAGAGCATAAATAGTCAGAAATAAAAATGGATGTAATAAAATATACTTTTTGTGTAGTTATGAGAGGCACTGCAACCAGAATTTTTTTCATATTACTAGAAATCGGTCACAACGAGAAAAAAAAATCAGAAACAAAAAGAATTATGGAAAAAATTGTGAGGGGCCAGTTTTATTTGCAAATTCATTGTTTTATCGATAACCTAACGAAAGGCAAAACACTATGGCTCATACAAATCGATTTCTTAAAATGTTAAAAAATGAAATTCGTATTCTGCAGTTTTTTTTCTTCAAATATTATTATCGAATAATTTCCCCAGATTACGAATTAAAAAAAATTTTTCTATGGCTTCTCAATCCTTCGCAGGTTACTTAAAGCCAGAAAATATTTAGATTCTAAGTATTTTATTATTAAGATAATGATTTAGTGATATAAATCTTACTAATTAACCCATAGCTGGGGGAGTAGAGAAGAGGTGGATCCATATTTTTGCCATTTTTGTATTTGTCTGTAAATGAATATAACAAACCTAAGTGGAACGGAAATTTGGCTCTCCGATAAACAATTTCGAGCCATTATCCATTAAACTACCCACACATCCAAGCTTATAGCTGTCACCCATCTAGGTACTAACCAAGCTCGACGTTGCGTAACTTCGGTGAAATGGGGTTTGATATAAAAAAAAAATCTGGTCGCAGTGCATTTTTAACCACTTCACCATACTTTTTATTGCTATTAATCATTCAAAGACAGAGTCTAAGAGCATTTTAAACGGTATAAAGACGTTTATCTTTGCGGCATGTTTGTTCTGTTTTCGAATCTTTTCTGTTAATTTACCCCCAATAATATTAAAAAAGTTATTGAAATATTAATTTATTCCAATAAATTAAAAATTAAAGTTTTTTTATTAAATTTTTGGCACGGTTTTGAAATTATAAACTTAAAAAAAAAAGAAAGTTTTTGGCTTGTTTATCGAGGTGAGCGCGAACAGAGATCTCACAATTAGAAATTGCGTTCCCGAGCCGCCCACGTTTGCGGCGATAGCAAAAGTCAACCCAATCGGAGTGCAATTGAAGGACCTCGATCTAGGAGAATTCGGTGTGAATTTTAGCAAATATAAATTCTTTTTATTTGGAGTGAATTAACAGAAAAGTTCCTTGCTTTCCATTATTTATATAATACTGTATGATAATTTTTAGAGGTATTTTTTAGAGATTATAATTAAATTATTCCAGATAGCATAGAAGCAGTTATATTTAAAAACGAGTCATTCCAATTGTTACATAATATTACCTTTCTGTACATTAGCAAAAAATATGGAGTAAATCAATTATCGCTTACCTTTGTTGTCGTTATATAGTGGATCCCTTCAATCGATCCATTCTTCAAGAGGAATATCCATTAAAAAAAATGAGAGGGGTCTCTTTTATTCTGCCAAGCATTTGCGATAAGAAATGGTGGCTAATATAGCCCGATTCTTTACAACAATGCTAATTACACACACGATACCATTCCTATTAATCCATTATAAAAACAGGCGATTCCAATGTACAAACAGGGGTCCTATACCATTCCTGTCCTGCTAATAAATTAATACATAACAATGCGTTAAAATTCACGATCGTCTGACATATGCATCTGTCCGATAAGTTAATGTATGCTGATTCGTTCAGTTTTGTGATAACAACATATGCAATACAAAAAACAAAAACAAAACAAAAACAACTTAATATTTAGAACAACTCTTCAAATGACGACGTTCCTCAAAATTAAAAAAAAAATCAATTATCATTATTGTTCTTGTTTTATTCTTAACGCTATTATTTACAAAGACACAGTGCCACTCAAGGTAGAGGAGGGTTACTGAATGAGGTTGTTTTATGGCCGTAAGTATTGTAGACAGAACAGTAACGCATGGGGCCGATAGGCACTTGCCTGGCGGTCCGACGAGCATAAGGACCCCATGCTAATCTTTGTATGTTAAGTGGCCACTTGTTTTACACAAGTCCCTTTTTAGGAAATACTAAAAATAGAAATTACTACAAGTCACGCATATTGCAACTGGTGAAAATATATATCTTAATAGTTGGTTCTAAAAAGAAAGTGGGAGAATGTCCCCTTTTGACCTAGAACACACAGGAAATGGCGAGGACTTTCTTCAAAGAGGTCGCCCACATATATAAATGGAAAAGCTGGTTTGTCACGCCAGTTCAGTTTATTTGCAGACAATTTCGTTATCAAGGAAAAAATGAAAGAACTAACCCTGACTCCCGACGATCAGTCTTCGCACAGTCCAAACACAGACTCGCTGTTAAAACCCTCATTTTTATCTTTTAATATTTGTGACTAAGATTGCTATTGATTTGTTGTTGAAGACAATATTATCTTTTTATTTTTTCTCTGGTTTGATTTAATTCTTAAATTTTCCCTAAACTGAATCAATATTGTTTTGAATGTTTAATTGTGTTCATATTTTTACTTTTGTAAATAAATTATTTTTATTATTATGAAACTCTAGTGTTGATAGTATTTCTTTTTTTCCCTCTTTTTTTCTCTCTCTCTTTTCTCTCTCTTTTTTTTCTTTCTCTCTCTTTTCACTCTCTCTCTCTCTTTTTCCCCCTCTCTCTTTTTGTCGCAACTGTGGCAAAATGGGGACTCGTCGTAAGCCTTGAGATTCATTTCAAAACAAAAACAGCAATTCAGTTGTCTTAACTAAAACAAATAATTTTCTCATCCGATGTTCATTTGACAACAACAAGGAAATAAATAATTAAATAATTGTCGGACTTTGTCTATTTCATAATGTATAAAGAAAGTAATCCATATTTCTCTTCAAATATTCTTTAGATAAAAAGGGCTTTGTCTTTGCTTAAAAATGTTTTATGTTGAATTTATTTTTTTCATTCAATTTGGATGAAGAATTTCACTTATCAAAAAAAAAAAAATAGAGTTATTGCAACTAGGTACATACTTTGTTTTAAACATTAATACTAATATGAAAAAAAGCAGAAATAACATTTAAACATACTGTAATTCAATTAATAGCAATAATATAAATATTGGATATATTTATACATTGTATATGAACCCAGGTATAGGTCTATGCATAGATTATTAGTTATTTAACCTGAGATTTAATCACAACATTGAACACTTGTACGGTAAGCATTTGTAGTGATTATTTAAGATTATGAATTTATGATGTAGTACTAATTTCCAAGTACTGATAGTTTATGAATATATGAATGGATAAACTTTTTAATTGTGCAAGTTGAGAAAAGTGTTGAATGTAGTCTTGTAGATGAGACTAGATCTGTGCCAGACACACTAGATATGCTACTAAGCTAGATGTAGGTCTTGTCCGACAGTTTTGTGAATCAGTACAGAGTAGAGGGTTTGTATTAAGAATAAAATAAACACTGTTCGTACAATTAAAGGAAGGACATGTTCATTATGGAGCAGAATGTTTAAATATTTAGGTCTTGTTGCAAGCACACTTATATAATATAACCCTACATCCTGGTGTGAGTTTAAATACTAAATATTTAAGATATATATTTCCAAGTGACTAACCCTTTTTAGCAGAAATGAAATGTAATATTTTGAGTAGAGCACAGAAGAAGAGAGGTGCAGAGGAGAAAATAGGAAAACTTCCAAAATTAATATCGTGGCTCAACACAGGTACAACGATAGCCACTCGTACCATTCCTTCAGATATAGCATCCACATTAGCATCCACTCCTGCAATGTCAGCCATTAGTGTTGTTCCTTCACATATAGCATCCACATCTACATCCATTCCTGCTACCAATCATCCAGTTTCAGCAGCCATACAATCTCTGCCTGATGCTGCTGGTGACATTTTACAAAAGGAAATATCTAAATCTGTAACAGTAAAGGAGTTTACAATCCAAGAGACACATCCAGGGCTATGGAACATTAATGATACTAAGACAATAGATACTGGATTCATAGTGAGCCCTCATCATGTCATAATCATAATAGCAATCTTTCAAACTCACCAGAATATATAAAACAGCTGGAGTAGAGAATATGAAAGCAAAGTATTCATCAAACAATGTGTTCAAACGTAAACTGCGGAATGGCGAGTGAGTAAAACGTGAATGGCTTCTCTTTTCTCCACCGCAAGGTCGTTTGTAATGCTTTGTATATCATCTATTTTCCAAGAAAGAATCTCCCTTTGTTACATCGGGGTTCAATGACTGGAAGCACAGTAATGTTATTGTAGAACATGAAAATAGAGAAGAACATCAAAAGTGTATCACAGCAAATTTGATATGCCGTAAAGAAATTGAAAGTGTAGATTCTTTATTACTTGAGAAACATAGCTCAGTGCAGGAATATTGGCATAAAATGTTGACACGTGTGGTTTCTGTTATTCACTTTCTTGTCTCCAGGGGTTTGCCATTTCGTGGAGAAAACCAGATTATTGGGTCAGCAAAAAATGGCAACTATTTAGGTATAATAGAGTTGCTGAGTGAATGTGACCCTTTCTTGGAAGAACACCTCAAAATGTATAGAAATCCTGGAAAAGGGAATCCGTCATATTTATCTGCAAATATTTGTGAGCAATTTATTGAATTAATGGGACAACAGGTTCTTTTTAATATTCTTGAAGAAGTAAAAGAGTCAAAGTATTATTCAATAAGTGTAGATTCCACTCCAAATATCTCACACACAGATCAACTGATACTTACTGTCCGATACATAAAAGGCTGTGAACCAGTAGAATGTTTTTTGATGTTCACTCCCATCTTTTTCTCAATGAGTTTGCCATCTGTTCCCTGTGCTGGACACAGCCTCAACTTGGTGGGAGTAAAAGCAGCAGTGTGTTGTCTACAGACTGTAAAATTCTTTGACTTTGTTCAGCATCTGTATTCCTTTTTTTTGCTGGTTCTACTCATCGCTGGAATGTATTGAGATTATCTCTAGGAAAAGATTTTGTGGTCAAGCATCTATCTGATGCACGATGGTCAATACATTTTTGATGCTGTCCATGCTCTATATGGTGGTTTCGAGAAAATAAAACCTGCACTGGATTCTCTATCAACTGACAATGAACAGGAAGTGAATACAAGGCGAGGGGAAGAAGGATTGAGCAAAAAAACAAAATGGAAAACCTGGAAATAATCTTTCTCATAATTCTTTGGAATGACATGCTAGAAAGAAGGAACAAAACAAGGAACGTCCTGCAAATACAAACATCCTTGTTGCTACGAACCTTCTTGAGTCTTCAGGAAACTCGAGACAAATTTAGTGAATATGTATTCAAAACCAGGATTACGTGTCCAGAAACAGATTACAATGATGGAAAAAATGGGAACGAAAATGAAGTGTGCATTTTAAAAGATGGATCAGCAGAAAAGGTATTTCGCAGTAAAAACGAAAAGTTCAAGGTGGAAACTTTCCTTCTTATTCTGGACACTCTAATCTTTGAAATGACAAAACGTGCAGAGGCTTATTCACAGATTGGAAAACTGATTTCTTTCTTCAATGAATTGAAAACAAAAGGTTTCTGATGCACAAAAGAAAAAGTGTGGACAACTGGTTAAAACATATCATATAGACCTGAGTTATGACGACCTTTTAAATGAATGTGAGCATCTCAAGCACTGCATGGCTCTTGATGAAAATTATGAGACTCACCCTGCACTGTATAGAAAAATAATTTCGGACAATTTGAAATTTGTATTCCTGAATGCTGAAATTGCATTCAGGGTGTTCGTGTGCATGATGATGATCAACTGTACAGGAGAAGGTTCTTTTTCAAAACCAAAACAATGGGGCAGCATTGTTTAAACTAACTCATGTGCATGGAAAATGGCATCCTATTGCTGAAGACCATTGACTTCAAGCGAATAATAAAGCAATTCTCTGAAAAGAAATGCCACAAAAGCTTGTTATAAGGTTGTAGTAATTTCATACTGTACCATCTAATCTGTGAGACGTACTAAGTATTATTGTGTTTATTGTATTGTTCAAATGTTTATCATGCTGATTAATTGCTGCTGTACAGTATGCTTTTAACGTTTTAACACGAGTTTTGTTGAAGTGCCAATAAAAATATCTGTTTATTATTGTTGTGGCCAAGTAAATGGTAAAATATTAACAAAAACCAAGTTGCAGATATATCGTATATTAAACAGTAAGTACACCATAAGAATATTACACGACTAGTGAGAGTGTATCGAATGAACTAGCGCTCAATCTATTCACTGTTATATTTAACGTCCCCTCACATGGGTCGTATGTGGCACAAGGCCGGTTTATTGTGGGTTCTCAGAGCCCGTAGGCTCGGCCAAAAATATTCCCTTCGAACTCGTATAAACGGGTTCAGGTCCTGTCTAACTCCCCGGACGAAACTTTAACTTTCGACAAAGCCTCGTCCGAATTCCTCTCCGCCGAGGCAGAGAGTTCGACAGATGAACAATCTAATCACTGTTCTTCCAACCTTCTCTCCTACTAAACTTATAGTAGGCGGAAGAGTCTAACATAGACTCTTAAGAGGAGGAACACCACAACAATTATTAACGACCATTTACTTTTTGTCCCTGTGAGTGGTTGATGTAGGGACCCCGGCACACATTGGTTTGCCCAGCGGCCCATAATGCTGTTAAGGCGGCCATGATTGTAGATTATGAGAATATGTAGGATTGTTGGTTTTGGCGTTAAAAGAATTTTAATGTCTTCCAAGTAACACCAAAGCATTAAAGTCATTCGACATGTTCCCAATATTTCCGCTGGAATAATTTTCTAATGAATTCATACATTAGATCTTTTATCTAACTCGACATAACGGAAGATTCTTTGTTTATGTGGATGTCCTACATGGATGTCCTACATGGATGTCCTACATGGGCACCTTGACGTGGTGTAATGGTTAGCAAGCTTGTCTCGCTCGAACAATTACAACTGAATAGAGAGTTCAACCCTCATTGAGTGCCCCGTACTTTCGGCCTTGTGCCACATTTAAGCTACGCTTTGAAAATCATTTACCTCGACGTGATGTAATGGCTAGCAAGCTTGTCTCTTTAGAATAATTAAGAGTAGTGAGTTCGATCCTCACTAGGTGCCCCATATTTTGGCCTTGTGCCACAGAAAATAATATAGATGACATGCTTATAGCGGTAAACCCATTCAGAAATAGCTAAACTGTTAGCTGTATACAACCACTTAATAAATGGTTAACATGGCTTTGAGCAAGTGAAGCTTGTTAGTCTTGGCGCTACAGAATCAAAAACAAAGAATTGTACCAAATAACAGAAACTACACCACTTGAGAACTACCAAGAGCAGTAACAATTAAAATGGATAGCACACGTAACTCGAAGAGAAAATAATGACATAATTAACGTTTCACACTACTTAAAATAAAAGGTTAAGAAGGAATGTTCTATCAATACTGAAAAGAGCGATAACATCTACTGTACTTGAGAAACCTGATAAAATTCAACCGAGAGTAATACTGGCCGTTCGATCAATGAATGCCAAATGCTTCCTTGAAAGGAAACGGTTAATATTACCATTAGCATAAATAGACAGGCCTAAATAATCATTCCCTCTTTTATAGTAGGTTCGAGAAAATAAACCTGCCAGGCTGACATTTGTGGTTTTTGATAGACCTGAATTATTTTTCAGATT